TCTCATTAATAATATCACACACATAAAACGAATAGACATTCAGCATTTAATTTTAGCCAAATCCTGAAAAAGTTTTTTTTTTGTAAAATTGTGATTTTCAGTTAAAGAATTACTGCTTGTTTTGAATTTGAGTTTTAAAAAAAATTGTCTGTCTAGAAGAGGCCAGCAGAGACTGACATTTAGGTATTTCACACAGTTTAAATGGCATCAAGAACTTTAAAATAACAGAATAGAGTTTATAACCGAAAATACTTCTTAGAATAAGAATGGGTCATTCCTAATTTCATTTTCACTTAGCCTAAATTTGTGCTGTAATCTTAAAACGTATTTCTAATATCAGACTTTCAGACCATCACATGACGTTTTGAGCACCCAGGCTCTTCATCAGACGATTATGCCTTTATGCAACAGGTGATTAATCACACGATTGAAGAAAGAAACATAAAAAACATCATCAGTGTATGGTTTCCATAACCATGTGATACACAAATCATTGTTCTAACAAATATTACATGTTTCTTTCTTTCTTATTTATTTATTTGATGCAGGTAAAATAACAACAATAACAATATTAGTGTTATTGTTATTAATGTTGAATGTTTAGAACTAGACTTTTGTCCCACATCTGTCCTTTCTTCAGTCTTGTGATTCATCACCTGTTGTATAAAGACATGTTGGTTAACATTCTTTAATGTTCGATGAAGAGCCTGCGTTTTGTTTTTGCTAAAATCAGACTTTTAGAAGTCTGACACTTCAGCCTATTAATTATTACTTATATTACTGACGTTTATATTAATTAACTTCAGCTTATTAACTTCATTTATATTCTTTTACTATAGCATACCATAATATGATTTCCACATTCATAATTGGAATTTAATATTTTAGCCTATATATGATGACATAAAATGTTTTACTGTATAGTAAAAATGACTCAACAGTGATTTGTAAATTCTTATTTATCATGCAGCATTGCCCTTTGAAGTTAGTTTTGGACTTTTTAGCAAAACCGGTCAAATCCATGTATATAGCCGCAGCCGAAATCGCGAAAGATCGCCGTCCTGGGCTACAGATCCGTCGGTAAGTGGCTGTCGCGGCCGGTCTGAAGCGTCAGCCTTGCGTGTTATGTGTCGTTTGCATCAGCTTTTAAAATTTCCCCATGCATGAGATTCGTGTGAATGTCACCCCGCGCGCCGCATGCATTTAAACAGTGCATGCTCTGAGACACACACGATCCTGAAACACCCCGTGCATCCTCATGCATTTACTCCCACACCTGTCTTTAGGACGTGAATGCGGTTCTGCAGATGCATGCAGGCCTCAGTCTCAGAGTGCTTATTCTGCCTGTATGCATGCTTTGTTTCATGCATTTTCATTCTGTCTGTGTTCGTATCTTCTACATATGTCAGCATCTCACAGAGGCCTGTGTTCATTTAGAGGCGCTTCATGTTATTTCTATAAGAGGTTTCCAATCTTTTAGATGCCACTGGCCACAAATATGAGCATCCTCATGCAAGGGACCCTCAACCTAACATTTAAAAGGAGGGCAGCTAAATATTTTCATGTATAAAGACCTGATTTAGATTGGTATACTTGCTATATACTTAACCAGTATGATGCTATATTTGGAACATATTTAGTTTCTATTTATTCTATTCTACTCGCTGTAGTACTGCACTGTTAGATAGATAGATAGATAGATAGATAGAACAAAAGAAAGAAAGTTGAATGGATAGATTTTATTTATTTATTTATGTTTATTTATATTATGCTTATATTTATATCAAATTTTTATTTTAAAATGTAATAATAGAATTTTATCATTTAATTATTTTAATATAATTATTTATATTAATTAATATATTAATCCGTTATCCTTGTATGTGCAAACATGCTTGGCAATAATGCTCGTTGTGATTATTTCATATTTTTTATTATGTATTTGTTTATAATGTTTGTTTAATTATGTTATGCTTTTATTTAGATCTGATTTTTTTTAGATTGTAATAATAGAATTTTATCATTGAATTATTTATTTTAATATAATTATTTGTTATATTAATTAATTATCCTCGTTTGTGCAGACATACTTGGCAATTAGTCTTTTTCTGATTATTTACATTTTATTTTTTATTTTTACATTTTAGTACTGTTTTTCTCTAAACTTTTCTAAGGACCCCAGTTTAAAGACTGCTGATCTATAAACTGAATTAATACATTATTTCTGAATCATTCACAGTGTGATGTTGGGAATGAGTTTGGATGCTGCAGGATTATCCAATCAGAGACCAGATCCAAGTCTGAATTGTAACAGTTATTAACCGATATATCGGCCGATATTTTGAGATTATCGACATCGTCCAATACCTGCTACTTTATATCAGTTCCAATTAACATTCAGTGTTAATAAATAATGCTTTTTAAAAAATATTTTTAGGGAAATGTGTACAAATGTTTTATAAAATCAGTTTGTGTCTACATCTGAACATATACATATATATATTAACATGTATAACACATACTGTATATATCGGCAATCTATACTAAGTTGTTGTATCAGCAATCTAAAAAAAATATTTAATTGAAAACAAGCTCATATTTATAATGAATTCTAAGATAAGATTCAGATCTGATCTCAAACATGCGTTTTGTGTAGAATTAGTTCTGTGTTCAGTTTGAATGTTTTTCTCTGCACAATGAGTGACTCAGAAAGTTTCCCATCAACCCACTGGAGTCAGATCCTGATCTGCTGGATCGTGTTGTGTGATTTAGAGCAGATTTCTTCTCTCTGCAGTAAAGCGTTTACACAGAACACACGTGTGCTGATGCGTGTGACGCTTGAGAGAACATGCCAACATCACATCAGGACACACATGAGTGCTCTGCAGCCTTTAGGAGCCGTTCTGTTCACACAATCACCACCAGACCTCCAGCATTCATTCTTTACACTGCACTCAAGTTCATCCTCAAGTCACAGTGAAATCCAGGATGTTTGTTCAGTGTAGTGTATGTATGTATGTAAATAAATAAATGCACCAAAATGATTATTTTAATACCAAAAATGAAATTAAAGTTTTATCTAGTCAAAAGCAGAGACATAAAAAAAAAAAAAAAGGTTTTGTAATAAAATTTGGGTAATTGAGCAGTTGAACTCACCTGTCAATATTTCAGCCAAATAAATGTGTATATATTTCAACTCGAGCATAATTTTTGGTCAGAGATGCACTAATTTAATGCCACTGTTTCAGTTGATGACTTTGGCCCTTCGGAACAAACAAACATCTATCTATCTATCTATCGTTCTATCCATCCATCCATCCATCCATCCAATGTTCTCTCTATTGTTCCATTGATCTATCTATCTATTTATCTATCTATCTATCTATCGTTCTATCTATCCATCATCTCTATCTATCTATCTATTCATCTCTATCTATCCATCTATCCATTCATATCTATCTATCTATCTATCTATCTATCCATCTATCCATTGTTCTATCTATCTATCTATCTATCCATTGTTCTATCTATCTATCTATCTATGTATCCATCTATCCATTGTTCTATCGTTCTATCTATCTATCTATCTATCTATGTTTCCATCTATCCATTGTTCTATCGTTCTATCTATCTATCTGATCTATCTATCTGTCTATCTATCTATCTATCTATCTACCTATCTATCTATCTATCTGTCTATCTATCTATCTATCTATCTACCTATCTATCTATCTATCTGTCTATCTATCTATCTATCTATCTACCTATCTATCTATCTATCTGTCTATCTATCTATCTATCTATCTACCTATCTATCTATCTATCTGTCTATCTATCATGCTGTTTTGGATTAATATTTTCAGTCGCCAAAATTTCGGTGCATCAGGGTTATTATAGTTAACTGAAATTAAAATTAAAACCATAAAAAATTACTTAAATTTTAAGAAAAAAAAAATGGTAATCTTTTTTAACTTGATGTACTGAAATAACTAAAACTGAAATAAAAATGAATAAACGCTATATAGACACATATAAAAAAAACTACTAAGAATGACAAAAATTACTAAAACTTTCAAATTAAAATACAAAAAGTAAAAACTAATTCAAAATATTAATAAAAACTATAAAAGTATGTGATTGGGTTTATGTTTCATTTTATTTTACATGTTCATAACGCAAACAGCTAAACTGATTTTGAGTCTGATTTGCCAAAACATCATATTTTTGAAAGCATGCAGGAAAATCCATGTTGGTTTTGTGTTTGATTTAATGAAGCGTTCAGCTCTTATAAGGTCACTTCAGGCCTCAGTATGGCAGAAGCATGTGAACTTTAACCGCAGATAACATGATGTATGTACGTTTCTGTCCTTTAGACCGACTCAGTTCTGCGCTCGTGACATTTCTGGCTCTCAGCTCAGTATGAGTCCATGCCGTAACCCTCACTAGTCTGCACTAACGAACGCCTTTGAGTTTCTAATGCTGGACTCGGTGCCTTCTGTGGAGTCTCGAACCATCCATAAACTCTCTGATTTCCAAAAGCAGTGGAGTATGAAGTCATTAAACCCGTCTGGGCTTTGTTTGCGTGCGGGGTCACGCGCGGCTGATGGGAACTATATGTTCCTGATGCGTTTGCTCCTGTTTCACGCTCTATTTATAGAGCTGATGAGGAAGGATGCTTGAAATCCGATGCGCTTCCATTAAAACGGAGGGAAGGCAGGGCTGCTGCTGCTCTCTAATGGCTTTACGATCGAGAAACGCTTGTAGTGAACAACTCAAACCTGACCTACAGTAGCAATGCCTTTTATAGACTCTTAATTCATATTCCTGGTCTGACTGCGAAGGACTCATCAGTCACGCTGTTCTAATTGAAACAAATGTTCATTTTTGTCATTGTCTTCAGCTTGCTTCATTTCTTAAATGGTGTTCTTTTGGTTGACGTCATTAATCATTAGCCTTTCATCCTCTTCTCTCTGTCTTCCAGAGACGTTATGATAGATGATCCAACTGTAAATATTAGAGGTCGACCGACTGATCGGTTTTGCCGATATATCGGTACCGATAACTGATTGAACAGATGATAGTTTGCGAGGCCAAATCTCTGAGCCCTCCTAAAGTTTTTGACATCTTTAAAAGCCATCTTGTTTGTATTTATATTAAATGGTTTCTAATATTTTTCTAACATTAACTGAAGTTGTGAAATGCTGTAGAATTATTGTTCATTGTTAGTTTTAACATTTATTAATACATTTTTAAATTTTTACGTTGTTTCTTTTAACAGTAGTTTATGCACTATGAACTAACATGATCAAGGTATAATTAATATAAAAATTTATATAATATTTAATATTAATATTTATTTAATTTAAAAAAGTACAGCACATTTTCAAGGTTCAGTATAATTTTTA